TGGGTACAGTCAGAAGTGAGGGAGGGTGAGAGAATTCACCAGAGTCAGAGCGGGGACCAGAACAGACAGACTGATGAAATACACTGCTGAAGGGAGCAGTGGGCAGCAGGAGAGGTCTGCGCACCATGTGGTGCCCTTACCTGGTGGCCCGGGATCAAACTAGCACTGCAGAGACTGCGGGCAGCTTAGCAAGCCAGCGCTCAACCACTGTGCCACCGGGGAGGCCCTACCACCAATTTCTGATAAAAATTTTCAAACAACTAAGACTAATAGGGAACATCCACAAAGTGATAAAGGACAAGTACAATCACTCTCAGTTAACATTTAATTGTGAAAGGCTGTAAGTGATTTCTATCTAAAATCAGCAAAAAATAAATGAATGCATTGTTTTATAACTTGTGTTCAACACTGTACTGGAGGTACTACCTAGTACAACAAAGTAAGGAAAATAAATTTTAAAAATACAGATTAGGAAGAAAGAAGTAAAACTATTGTGTTTCACAGTTGACATAATCATGTATGTAAAAAGTACTAAGGAATTTGCCAAAAGTATCATTCTATAACTGATAAGAGTTAATTTAGCAAAGTTTTAGAACAGAAAACTTAAAAAAGAGATATACAATGAAGCATTAGAACACACAGTATTATTAAGATCTCAATTTCTACAGAATAAAAATCACAATTAAAATTCTAGTAAGGTTTTAATATAACCAATATGTTGATTCTAAAATTATTATGGAAAAGAATGTTTAGAATTAGCCAAAATAACTTTTTTTTTAGTTTTTTTTTTTTAAAAAAAGAGTTATTTATTTATGCATACAAGAACTGGGGTGTACAAAGCAGTGATAGTGAAGGCAAAGATAAACAGCTGGGACTAAATCAAATTAAAGAGCTTCTGCACAGCAAAAGAGACAATAACAAAAACAAAGAGAAACCCCAGTGACTGGGAGAACATTTTTGCACACAACACTAATGATAAAGGACTGATCACAAAAATCTGCAAAGAGCTGATGAGACTCAACAACAACAAAGAAAATAATCCTGTCAAAAATTGGGCAGAAGAGCTAAAAAGAAACTTCTCTGAAGAAGAAATGCAAATGGCCAACAGGCATATGAAAAAATGTTCAACATCACTTGCAATCAGGGAAATGCAAATCAAAACTACCATGAGATACCATCTCACACCAGTGAGAATGGCACATATTTAAAAAACTAGCAATAATAAATGTTGACGAGGATGTGGAGAAAAAGGAACTCTTCTGCACTGTTGGTGGGAGTGCAAACTGGTCCAACCACTATGGAGAGCTGTGTGGAGATTTCTGGACCTACTAAACATAGAGCTTCCATATGATCCAGCAATTCCACTCCAAGGTATTTACCCAAAGGACACAGAAACATCAATTCCAAAGAACACCTGCACCCCTATGTTTATAGCAGCACTGTTTACAATAGCTAAGCTTTGGAAACAACCCAAATACCCAAAAATAGATGACTGGATCAAGAAGATGTGGTACATATACAACATGGAATATTACTCAGCATTCAAAAAAGATAAACACATGGATGTTTATCTGGAACATCCATGGATGGCACTGGAAGGGATCATGCTCAGCGAAATAAGCCAGAAAGAAAAAGAAAAATACCGGATGGTCTCACTCATAGCAGGAATCTAGAAAACTTAAATAAGGGACCAGGAAAATGCATAACTATAAGAAAGTGAAAATCAAAATCAACAAAAAACTATGAACCAGAGACACTCTATGGGGGGGGGGCGGGGAGGGGAGGGATTGGGGTCAAAATAAGGGGGTTGCAATTGTATGGGGAATATAAAAATATAATTTATTTAAAAAAAAAAGAACTGGGGTGTAAACCAGAAGTACGGTGGGGCGGAGAGGATTTACCAGAGAGACTGGGGAGCAGAATAGGTAGATCTACTGAAATACAATACTGAGGGGAGCATCTGGCAAAACATGAGAGCCTGCCATATGGGTAGCTCCCTGGCCAGCCAGGGATCAAACTCAGGCTGCAGAGGCTGTGGATAGCTTCACAGTGCTGTGCTTAACCCCTTGTGCCACCAGGGAGGCCCCAAAATAACTTTTTCAAAAGAATGAAGGCAGAAGTACACCTGATTGCAGTAGCTATTGATATAATAAAGCTACAGTAACCAATGCAATATAATATTTGTCTAAGTATAGTTATATTTGGTCAATAAAATATAGAGACTAGAAATAAACTGAGATCAGCATTTCAACAAAAATACCCACTTAACTAAAATGGTTAAAATAATAGTCTTTTCAACAAATCAGTCTGGAATAGGACTGATAAGGACTCTTAAGTCCTGTATGAAAAAAACCAACTGTAACTCTTTCCATAAACAAAATATTCATTCAAAATGCATCAGAGACCTAAACGCAAGAACTAAACCATTAAACATCTGGAAGACAATTAGCAGAAAATCTTTATAACATCGATTAAGGCAATACTTTCTTTGATAGAAATCAAAAAGAGTGAATCATAAAAAATTAATGAAATGGACTGTATCAAAACTGAAACCTTTCTTCATCAAAAACACACAGGTAAGAAATGATAAGACAAACAACAAATGGAGTGGGCGGGGTGCGGGGAGGGGAGCGGGCAGAACAAAATGGTCTGAGTTGAGTCATAGGAAACATCGAATAACCAGGTTGAAGTTCAACAGACAAAGTGAAGGAGAATCCTAATGTTACCACAATTGAAAAATAAATTATATGAAAGATCCATATTCTCTAATACTTGCATGGACATAAGAAATAGGGGGATGTAACATGTTTTCTTGGTAGAATTTTTGGACAAAAGGGGGAAGGAAGCAATTTGAAGGCAACTGGCAAAATTTGAGTGGGGTCACCAATTTATCATTTGATATGGTGTTATACTGATATCCCTGACAGGGAGGGGCATATGGTGGTGTGTAAGAGAATCCTCATTTGGGGAGGATGCATACTGGAGTGTTTGGTAGTACTGGGAAACATGTCTAAAAAAATCTACACGTATAGGGAAATAAAGGTAAAGGAAGAGCTGTGGTAAAAATTCTCCAGCTAACAACTGGAGAATCTGGCATAAAAGGATGCAGGAATTCTTTGTATTAAATTTATACCCTTTCCATATGTTTGAAGTTATGTCAAAATTGTTGAAAATGTAGCAATAAATAATAAATAGATCACTTAAAGAAATATATCATTTTTTATGAATTGGATGACTGAATATTTTACTCAAATGATCTAATAATCTTTATGAAGTCAGATTATGAAACTAATACCAAACACTGTCAACCACTTGCTCAAAAGTCTTCTGTGACTTCCCATTATCCATCTAATAAGGAGATTATATTAAGTAAGATGATGCCTGTAAGGGCCTCCCCGGTGGCGCAGCGGTTGAGCACTGGGTTGCGAAGCTGCCCGCGGCCTCTGCGGCGCCGGTTCGATCCCCGGCTTCTCCCCTGCCACCGGAGGAGGGTCCCACATGGTGCGCAGACCTCTCCTGCCACCCGCTGCTCCCCTCAGCAGTGTACTTCGCTCCCCGCTGTGGCTCTGGTGAATTCTCTCACCCTTCCGCACTTCTGACTGTACCCAGTGCATGTATAAACAAAACAAACAAACAAATAAAATAAATAAATAAATAAAACATGCCTGTATTAAAAAAATAATAAAAAAAATTAAAAAAAAAAAGATGATGCCTGTAAAACCCCTTCCTTAACTCTCAATATATTAGTGGGAAGTAAAAATACTTTAGTATCCTTTCAAAATTGTCACTCTGTTGTTTAAAGACATGTGATCACAATGTGACCACAATTTGTCATTCCCTTCTTTTAAAAAATTCATTTATACATTCAAAACATATTTATTGAATATCTTTTCTGCTTCAGTTATATACTAATTCCTGGAAGACACACTCAATAAAATCAACATAATTACCCTTTTTAGTGCTTAGGTACTTAGGTGAAACCGTTACCCAGTCACAAGTGTCACTTCCATTCAAAACAAGGTTTTCCTGTATCTGAGTGTTTATCATAGCACTCACTCTTTCACCCATTTTTTCACTACATCATTCAATAAATACTCTTTAACTACATGCATGGCTGTTAGATCTGTCCCTACTTATCAAAGTATATATGCTTCTTCCTCAAGAAATTCTTTGGTGATCTCAAAGTAAACTGATGTTGTTGTTTTTCTCTCATGTTTCTTATCTAGTCTTTATTGCACTTATTTAGACATTGGATTTTAGAATAAAATGAGATCACATTTGGCAAACTCAAAAACCATTAATGTGAACAGATTAGTAAAGAATCTAGGACTGATGGGAGTGGTGGACTCTTATCAACTAGAGATGTGTGGGCAAAGACAGACTCCTTTGAGTTTGGGTTTTCTGATAAAGATTTTTTGAAGTCAGGGCCTCCCCTGGTGGCGCAGAGGCTGCCTGCAGCCTCTGTAGCGCCGGTTCGATCCCTGGCTGCCGGTGAGGGTCGCACAAAAAAAAAAAAAAAAAAGATTTTTTGAAGTCAGATATCACCTTTACTCTCCATACAGGAGGAAACAAGATTCAGACAGAAAGTGGTTTGGTCCGTATGTCTCAAAATTGTGGTCAGAACCAGAAAAATTTGGTGGTCACAGATAGTGTTTTCAACTTTAATTTCCCCAATGATTCAACACTGAACTTCTCAGAATTGAACATTAAACAACAGACCCTCCTTCCAGTTGGTTCTCTGGAGATCAGGCCCTTATTATCCAAACTGTGAGGGGGGAACTGTGTTAGGTGCCTGATGAGGTGAAGCAATGACGAAGCCCAACCTAAGGTGGTGACCCAGTTAACCTGTTTTGATTCCAGACATATCTTGAGACCATGCCAGAGCTGGCTAAAGCTAGCCCACCCTTCGCTAGGCCCTGCACATATACCATTTGTCTCTCATCGGCCTCCCTACCTCACCAAACTCAGCTGCCGCCCGCATCGCCGCCCCTCAGGCTCACCTTGAGAGATGACCAAGAGGCAGTAGAAAACTAGGAAGCAGTGGACATTATTAAAGCGCTGCCAGCTGGGAATAATTATAGAGCCCAATCCGCAAGGCGTATCCAAATTTTCTTGTCGTTTTTTTGCTTTCCTGGTAGAGGCCCCTTTTTTTCTTAAATTGTAGAACCTGATTAGCCTGTTTGCAACCGTCATCACATATGAAGAGCTTTTCGTGTCCACTTTCTCCAAGGCCCCGTTTTCCTGAGAAGATTGGACCTGCGCCTCTTGAGGCTCCACCTCCACTAGGTCTCCCTCCATGGCTGGAGTGTGACTCACGCTGGACCGTGCTGGGTAGATGGTAAGACCTGATGCCTTGGACGCGGTGCCATCCTTTCTATGCGCTTGAACGGAAAGGCCTGCCATGCTGACTTCTGGGAACTGGTGACCCCCAGGGTAAATGCTGCCTAACCGGTGTCTGCAGCCCTCCAGAGGGAAGGAGGCAAACGTCTTGGAAGGGAGGTTGACAGTTGCCTTGTGAGAACTTCCAGGACTGTTTCCGTCTCTGCTTTCACGTGGGGAAGAGGTAAGGGTTGGGTGGGGGAGGGGTAAACTTATAAACATAGATTAAGATAACCGCTAACACCTACGGGAGCACCAGAGTTAACTCTAGTGATAGTCAATGATGTTAGCATTTATTTAACAATTTCTAATTAGAAACAGGAGTGTGCAATGATGGGACAGTGGAATTCTCTCCCAATTGCCGCAGGCTTACATTCATGTAGTATTTATTAAATGGGGTGATCTCACCAAAAATACAGTTGAAGGACCAGGAGAAATCAGAAGACATGAAAATACACTTCTATCTCAATCGGAAGCTAGCAAAGATCATAAAATAATATACCAAAGAATGCTTCTAAAACTAAGTGAAGTGTTTTGCACATAAAAATTATTATCTTAAAGACTCTATATGAAACCAAGAATCAAAGGTTTGCTATTTTCCTCCCTAAATAAGGAAATAGAACAGTGTAATTTACTTTCCCAGGCACAAAACCTTACTGAAAAAAAAGTATATAGGAGAATAAAAGCAGGATATAAAACATGTATGTTTTATTTGAAAGTACAACTTTTTTTAAAAAAGATTTATTCATTTATACAAGAACCGGGGTACAGTCCAGATGCGCGGGAGGGTGAGAGGATTCACCAGAGACAGAGCGGGGAACAGAACAGGCTGACTGACTTAAAAACACTGCTGAGGGGAGCAGCAAGCAAGACAGGAAAGGTCTGCCCTGCCGTGCCATGTGGGACCCTCACCCACCAGCAGGGATGGAACCCGTGCTGCAGAGGCTGCAGACAGCTTCACAGCACTGAGCTTAACGGCCTGCGCCACCAGGGGAGTCCCAATACAACTTCTTAATTGTTGTTGTTTTGTTTTTCTTTAGCAGAAATAAAAATTATTCAGGCCTAACATCTTTGGAAGATGACATTTAAGTAAAATAAAACTATCTCCCCTCCCATATATTAAACATTGTTTTACCAAAAACAATCCAGCTCTTCAAAAAGTTTTGGGTTGCTAGAAAGTGTTGAGTGCTAGAGAAGTATAGCTGAGAAGGACTTGGGAGGAGGGTATCACCCACCCCACACCAACCTGAGTTTACCTCAACAGCTATATGCCTATCAGTGGGTGGAAATGTTATTTTATCTATACTGAAGAGACCTAGTTTGTTCAAAATACAGTCATTATGCAAATAAGATAAATGTCCTCATTTTCCCCTGATGAGTTCATCATATTCAACTAACATGCTTGCTGACATTGCTTCATGAAATTAGGAAAGGGTATTCCTAGGAGACAGGAAATCCTTTTAGTGCTTTGGTACCAGAATGAGCTAGTTCATGTCCCTACAGTCCCAATGTTCAATTCCTAACCATTTTTGCACATAAAGCAAAAGCAATTTTGTCTCTAGGATTGAGGCAGGAAACTTTCCTGCCCCCTAATTCCTGGTAAAGGTTAGTTATTACAGGGAGAAAGATAAAACAGGAGAGAAGTTCCCGGAACCATCCTGTCCTGTGGTCCACCCAAAGTTTAGCTATCACCAGCAGGAATGATGGAATTAAAAACACCTGCCAAAAAGAAAAAGAAAAATACCGGATGGTCTCACTCATAGCAGGAATCTAGAAAACTTAAATAAGGGACCAGGAAAATGAATAACTATAAGAAAGTGAAAATCAAAATCAACAAAAAATTATGAACCAGAGACACTCTATGCGGGGTGGGGGGCAGGGAGGGGAGGGATTGGGGTCAAAATAAGGGGGTTGCAATTGTATGGGGAATATAAAAATAAAATTTATTTAAAAAAAAGAAAAATATATTACAAATAAAAAAAAAAACAAACACCTGCCAAAGGGGCCAGAAAGGAATATCATTCCTTACCAAAAACTGTTACCAAAAAAGGGACAAACTCTGACCTCTGAGGCTCAGGTACTCAAAGCCTAAAGTAGACTCTGGACCTGGGGAATCCATGCCCTTTTCCCATGATAATCTTTGCATGAATAAAATCATTAGCATTCTATCAGTGTAGCTGGGTCTCTCTCCTGCAGTGTAGGAATACTGGAATACTAAAAGCTGAGGGTGGAATAGTAGCACTGGCCAAAAATAATAATTCAAGAGCTCCAGGTTTCTTATGAAGAACAAGAAAGCTTCAGTTCTCACTGGAAGACTTTTAAGCTTGTAATAAGTACAGTAAAACAAAACCCAAATACAACTCCACTTTTGTCAACATTGGCAAACTTATACTAGGAGACAAAGAAAAATGAACCATTTCTAGCTGTAGATACACCAGTCTCCAATATTCTTTTTTTTTTTTAAGGTTTATTTATTTATTTATCCAAGCACTGGGTACAGTCAGAAGCGCGGGAGGGTGAAAGGATTCACCAGAGCCAGAGCGAAGAGCAGAACAGGCAAACTAATGAAATACACTGCTGAGGGGAGCAGTGGGCGGCAGGAGAGGTCTGCACGCCATGTGAGACCCTCACCCAGTGGCCGGGGATCGAACCGGCGCTGCAGAGGCTGTGGGCAGCTTTGCAACCCAGTGCTCAATTGCTGTGCCACTGGGGAGGCCCCTATTTTTTTTTTTAAGATTTATTTATTTTTATACAAGAGCTGGGGTACAGGCCAGAGGCGTGGGAGGGTGAGAGGATTCACCAGAGACAGAGCAGGTAGCAGAAGAAATAGACAACTGAAATACACTAATGAGGGGAGCAGAGGGAGAGAAAGGAGAGGTCTGCTGTGCCATGTGGGAATTTCCCTGGCTGGCCGGGAATCAAACCCATGCTGCAGAGGCTGTGGACAGCTTCACAGCACTGTGCACCACAGGGGAGGCCCCTCCAATATTCTTTTTTATATAATGTTCCAGATATTAATATTACTATCTGGAAATTAGCACTAAATGATTTACTATATATATAATTGAGGCATCAAGGAGAGACAATGAGGTAGAAGAATTATTTGAATATGTAATGGTCACAAATTTCATAAAACAAATGGAGATGTGGAACCACATATATAAGAACCTTTGGGAAACAGCAAACAAAATAAGTACATATGAAAACACACCTAACCATATAAAGTCAAACTGTGAAAAATCAAACCTAATTAGGAAAGTTTGTTGAAATCATAGAAAAGAAAAACATAAAGAGAAACAGATTTTTTAAAATTATACTATCAGTAACTATGCTGGCTAGAATATGATGAAACTATATTTTTAAAATATGGAAGAAAAAGCCTATCAAGGATATTTTGTCCAGCAAAATATCCTTCAAAACTGTGAAAAAATCAACAGAATATTGGCATACCAATCCAACAATATATAAAAATAATTATATTTCATGACAAAGTGGGCTTTATCCCAGGAATAGAACACCTAAACATTGGTTAATTACATACATAAAAGACAAAATCCACATGATTGTTTTAATAAAAGCCAGAAAAGCATTTGGAAATATCATAGCTCATGAAAAAAAACACAACAAAATTATGAATAGAGGGAACGTCTTCAAACTGATAAATGTATCTGTCGAAAACTTCTAGGTCATAATTCTATATTTTTTAAATGTTTATTTATTGACATTCTTCAAAGAAATAGAACAATTATTAATGAAATACATATGGGATCACCAAAAACCCTGATAGCCAAAGCTCTTCTGAAAAAAAAAAGAAGGGAATGGAGGCATCACACGCCCAGACTTCAGACTATACTACAAACCCATAATCATCAAAACTGCATGGTATTGGAACATGAACAGACACACGGACCAATGAAACCAAATAGAAAATCCACAAATAAACCCACAGATTTATGGTCAACTAATATTTGACAAAGGAGCGAAGAATATGCACTGGAGCAAAGAAAGTTTGTTCAATAAATGGTGCTGGGAAAACTGGGTCGCTACATGCAAAAGAATGAAGCTTGACCACTACCTCACACCATGCACAAAACCAACTCAAAATGGATTAAAGAACTAGACATAAGACCCGAACCATAAAATACATAGAAGGAAATACAGGCGAAACACTACATGACATGCACCTCAAAGACATCTTTACAGATACATCACCCAAAGCAGTGATAGTGAAGGCAAAGATAAACAGCTGGGACTACATCAAATTAAAGAGCTTCTGCACAGCAAAAGACAATAAACAAAACAAAGAGAAACCCCACTGACTGGGAGAACATTTTTGCACACAACACTAACAATAAAGGACTGATCACAAAAATCTACAAAGAGCTGATGAGACTCAACAAAAACAAAGAAAACAATCCAGTCAAAAAATGGGCAGAAGAGCTAAAAAGAAACTTCTCTGAAGAAGAAATGCAAATGGCCAACAGGCATATGAAAAAATGTTCAACATCACTTGTCATCAGGGAAATGCAAATCAAAATTACAATGAGATACCATCTTACACCAGTGAGAATGGCACATATTAAAAAAAACTAGCAACAACAAATGTTGGCGAGGATGTGGAGAAAAAGGAACTCTCCTGCACTGCTGGTGAGAGTGCAAACTGGTCCAACCACTATGGAGAGCTGTGTGGAGATTTCTGGACCTACTAAACATAGAGCTTCCATATGATCCAGCAATTCCACTCCTAGGTATTTACCCAAAGGACACAGAAACATCAATTCCAAAGGTCACCTGCACCCCTATGTTTATAGCAGCACTGTTTACAATAGCTAAGCTTTGGAAGCAACCCAAATGCACAAAAATAGATGACTGGATCAAGAAGATGTGGTACATATACACAATGGAATATTACTCAGCAATCAAAAAAGATAAACATGCAATTTGCAGCAACATGGATGGAGCTAGAAGGGATCATGCTCAGAGAAGTAAGTCAGAAAGAAAACAAAAATACTGGATGGTCTCACTCATAGCAGGAATTTAGAAAAAAGACTAATCAATACAAAGTAAAAATCAAAATCAACAAGCAACTATAAACCAGAGACACACTACGGGTGGGGGGAGAGAGGAGGGCAGGGAAAGGAAGGACTAGAGTCAAAATAAGGGGGGAGGTGCAATTGT